CATTCATCAGAAGGCAGCTGTCACATGTACACATTGTCATGCGTGGTGACCCTGAGATAGGCTCTTCTGCAGAAATGAGAATAGGAAACAATAGAGACAGAGCACTAACTTACCTCCTTTCCAGCTGTGTGGTCTTGGACAAGTCACTTTGCTTCTCTGGGCCTCAATTTTCTTCTCTCTAAACTATAGATAATGATGATACATTGACCCGGCCCATGCGTCAGTCTGCGGGGTAACACCTAGAGGAGGAACAGGGATTAACAAAGACAGGGCGAGAGATGGAGACAAGTTGAGGAAGTCCAATCAAGTCTCATTTATTGAGGAAGTGGTCACAGCTTTTATAGGGAAAGGGCGGGCCAGTGGGACAGGAAAAGGCTATGGGGTGATCTCTGATGGGTCATCATCACGTCCATGTATGTGATGCAAGCAGGAGAGGATCATGGTTGATGTAGGCACACTATGTGCCCATATAAGGGAGAGGCAGGGAGCCAGCAGCAGGGCGGTCGCATGGCTCCCTACAATACATTCTTCAGAGGCTGTTTTAAAGGTAACTGTTGTAGTTAGGGGTTGTGCAGAGAACAATTAGAATCAGGACATGGAGTTCATAATATTTTTATAATAGTCACTGGGAGTTAACACAAGTACTGCAGGAAATCTATCCAGAGACATAGAATATTTAGTCAAGGGCCTAAATCCCACAGCAATGTCCCACATGAGTCCAGAGAGAAACCCAGAGCTCATGACAGTGCCTCCCACAAGTCCAACTGGAGGTCTAGAGCCCACAAGAAGGACTCACGCCAGTCTCTTTTATGGATCCATGCTGGGAAGGCCCAAAGGTCAGCAGTGAAGCCAGAAAGTCCATGCCAGCAGGGTGAAGGAGCCGTGCTAGTGGGATGAGGGTTCTACGCTGCAGCTGAGAAGTCACATTCACAACAAAGACAAGGGCTGACCTGAAAGGCACCACAGCCATCCTCAGTGACACGGAGGCCCCGAGCTCCTCTCCTGACAAGCACAGTCAGGTACACGCCAGGAAGCTAGCGTGACGGGTTCATCCTGGAGACCAAGCGGCACATGTCTTCCTCTCCGGAGCCAGGAAGCAATGCTCAATATGAAGACCAGAGCTTCTCCAGGAGAACCAACAGCTCAGACAACAATTTGTAGGAGAATCCACAGTGCCTCAATGCAACAATGCATTAATGCCTCAATGCCTCAACGCAGTAATGCCTTAACAAACTCCTTCTCCTTCTATTTCTCCACCTATTTATGCTGGCAACTTTCCACAGGTGAAGCATCTTCACTCAGTGCCATGCTGATGTAATCCAGCTGGTGTTGACCACCACTTCTTAATCCATAACAGTCACATACACTGATAATGGTCGGGTTCTTTATAACTTATAGAATACTATTCACATGTGACAGCTTTTATCTACTACCACTCTGGTGCATGCCAACCATTGTCTTTTGCCTAGATTTTATAACTTCCCTTATAACTGGTTTCTCTTGTTTTGTGTTTGCCTGCCCCTCTAAAATCTATAACTAACACAGACTATAAGAATGATCCCCTTTTTTTGAGAGCCAAAATAACTATTCCTTTTGGGGTGCAGCCAGGCACCCTCAGAACTTCTGGAACTGCTTCTTGGTACCGGTGGCCTTGGTGACCTTAAGCACATTGAAGCACACTGTCTTACTCAGTGGCCTGCACTCGCCCACATTGGCGATGTCTCCAATCTGGACTTCCCTGAAGCAGGGTGACAGGTGCACGGACATGTACTTGTGACGCTTCTCAAAGTGATTATATTTGCGGATGTAGTGGAGATAGTCTCAGCGGATGACAGTGGTCCTTTGCATCTTCATCTTGGTCACCACACCAGATAGGATCTGCCCTCGAATGGAGACATTCCTGGTAAAGGGGCATTTTTTATCGATATAGGTGCCCTTGATGACCTCTTTAAGAGTCTTGAAGCCCAGACCAATGTTCTTATAGTACCGAGGGAGCTTCTCCTTGCCAGTTTCTCCCAGCAGCACCCTCTTCTTGTTTTGGAAGATAGTCGGTGTTTTCTGATAGGCGCGTTCTGTCTGAATGTCCACCATCTTTCCAGCCAGCAGAAAAAAGAGAGTGACGGCAGCGTGTGGGTTTCCTTATCGACTGTGCAGGGGCTAGAAGGAAGTGACCAGAGGAGGCCGAGGGATCCATTTTGTAAACTGGTACATGCCATTGCCTGCTTGAAATATACCTGTCACTAAAAAAGTAAAAGCCAGTGGTTTTCATTGACATACAAAATTCACTATTTATCTGTGCCTCTGTGTCCCTTCTCCCTTCAGTACTCATGTCTCTTAGGTATTTTTTTCTGCCATACTTTCTTCCTCCTTCCTATTCCTCTGGCACACCGACCTCCCTGGTAATTTTAAACATTCCAATCCCTCTTGCAGTTCAGGTCTTCACTCAGGTGTTATCACTTCAAGGATACCCTCCTAACCATCACAGCTTCCTAAGTTACAGCTTCCTACCACCTGTTTTCATGGAGTTTATGTCTTAATGGGAGCAGGCTGACTGACAGACACATAAATATATGATAGTATTATATATGTGAATCAACTTAGTCCCTTTGGGCTGCTATATAACAAGGTATCCTAAACCAAGTGACATATAAACAACAGTTTTAGAGACTGGAAGTCCAATATCAAGTTCCCAGCAGATTCAGTGTCTGATTTTAGGCCTGGTAAAGAAAGACTATCTTCTCATTGTAACCCCACATAGCTGAAGAGTAGACCTCTCCCAGACCTGTTTCATAAAAAGAAATACTAATATTCATGAGAGCTCTAACCAAAGGTCTCAATAATACCAATTAGGGGTTAGGATTTCATGATATAAATTTGGGAGGAACACAGATAGTCAATAGGGAGGGGTGTGAATGTCTGTGTGTCTGTGTGTGTGTATGTCTGTGTGCCTCTGTGTATGTATTAAAATATTGCTGTCTGTGTGTGTTTCTCCTAGGCCCTGATTAGAGGAAAGAGAACATACTCATACATACAGATTACCTCCCCGTGTCTCCTCTGCTTTCCAGGATCTCTGCAGTTGGTTTCTCATAGCATCACAGCATACCTTTGTAAAGGGCAAAATGACTAGTTCAAAGAGCCTCCTCAAACTTCCTGCCCATTAACACCTCTGAAAAGACATTGGAATTTCTGTGGCTCCACTTCGCCATTCTTGCTGTATAGCTCATTTCTGTGGTCTGGTCACTCCTAACCTCAGGCTTGAAAGAAAGTTTGCCAGAACCTCTTCCACAGAAAGAAGGGCTGGAATAGACTAGTTAAGTGTGCCGTGCCTTTTAGATCCAAGGGTAGATTCCACAATTATGGACCAATTATCCTTCTGAAACTTAATATCTGTGGGTCAGAGCATCTCCAGGTGCTGGGGATACAGATATAACCAAAGCAAATTCCTGGCTGAGTAGAGACTTTGTCTGGTGAGAGAGTCAGAAAAAGTAAGACAGTTATCATTGATTCATTAAATCAGTGTGCTTAAATACCCCCTGCAGCAGACCAAGCACTCTTTATATGTCAGGGACAGAGCATGGAACATAATACAACTCATATACTCAAATATAAAATTATTCAGGATGGTGATATGTGCTGTCGGTAAAAAAACTAAGGGTAACTAATTGAGGACCGACTGTGGGAAAATGATCAGAGAAGCCTTCTCTGAGGAATCAGTGATAAAACAAAAATGTTGAGTCAGGCATGAAAAGGCCTGAACAATGACATTCCAAATAAATGAGAGAATAAAAACTTGTTCCATGCGGGAAGTAGAAAGAAGGCTAGTGCATCTCATTCAACTGGGAGGAGAGTAAAAACTAGACCATTAGAAGGAAAATCTAGATGACAGAATGCCTCTCATGCTATGGTTACACAGGAAGTTCAGATTTCATTTCATGTGCGATGAGAGGCCCATTGCCGGGAGTTTCTAGAGGACTGACATGACTTAATTACTGCTTTTTAAATTTTTCTTTGGCTGCTTTACAGAAAATAGATCACTGTGGTGGTGAGATAAACAAGCACAAGCGGTAGTAAATGCTTTGGGAGATCATTTTTTTTTCAGGATTAGAACAAAGTTTCATAAAGGAGCTCATCCTTGAAGTCAAGACCTTATTAGCTAAGTTGGAGTTTGCCTGAATAAAAGGAAGAATTGAAGAGAGAAGGGGGCTCGTTTTAGGAAAGGGATGATCAAAATACAGAGATTCTATGTGTCCCATAGGAAAAATGGAAAGAGCTGTATTTTTTTGTCTTTTTTGAGACAAGGTCTCAATGCAGTTCAGGCTGGCCTTGAGCTCACTTTGTAGTCCAGACTGGTCTCGAACTCAAAAGGATCCTCCTGCCTCAGCCTGCTAAGTGCTGGGATTACGGGTGTGAGCCACCACGCCCAGCTAGAGCTGTATTTTTGTCAAGATTGAGATGAAAGGTACAAGCAGAGCACAAAAGCAACACTGAGATTCCTGCAACCAAGGCAAACCCTGTGTTCTGCATTAGTGTGTAGATTTGTAATGTGGTCACCTATTCTGCAGCTGTTAGAAGGCCCAGAGTATTATCTGCTATGGTTTTTCTCCCAGGTTCCCAAGGATTTGGCTCTAGTCTTTCCCAGTTACTTAGTATCTCTCTAGAAATGTTTCCCAGGAAGAAGGCAAAAGCAGTCTACCCCCTCTTCCTTCATCCAACTCAAGTGATCCTTTTACATCATTGGCATTCATGTCTCAAGTTCAGGCTGAATTGCAGCCTTTGTGCAAAATTCCTCTTAGTCACTTGTAATAATCAGCTCTACCCTGCAGAATAAAGACTTGGTTTTCCCTGTATGGAAAAACTCCTTACTCCATAGGGTACTCCTGTTTCTCTGCTCAGCTCTCACACTGCTGAGGATCACCTACCTTTAAGGCCACTAAATGGGGGGTGATGGAGATATACCAGCCAGCCCCTGTGCATTATGATTGGTGCCCATTGTTCTGCAGGGTCAGACCGATACCTGGAAAGCCGGGATCCCTCTCGACTGAATGGCCAAGACCCTTCCTTGTGGACAGTAGAGGAAGTGATGCAGTTTGTCCGGGAGGCTGATCCTCAGCTTGGATCCCATGCTGACCTGTTCCGCAAACATGTAGGTATCCCTCCCTGACCTCTCTCATGCTCGCTGGGAGTTTTGCTGCTGTGACACATAGACTCTTAGTCTATTTGTTCCAGGTTCCTTGAAACAGAACATGAGAAATGCCATAAAAATTTAGAAATAAGATCTGGGATCTCAGACCTCATTGGGCACTGCGTCCACCTCATTCTTTCAGTGTAGGACCTGATTCAGTTACATTCCTATTGGGTTTATGGCCTGAGGCTCAGTTCCGGTTAAGAGACCTGAGTCTTCTTTTCTATGAGTGCTTGCTTTCCCAGGAGTGTGGTGTGAAAATCAGAGGCCTTGACCCAAGTCAAACAATCCCTTACCCCCTAGTCCCTACTTTTATCAGTCCTCCATCAGCTGCTTGTCCCTCTATGAGTCTGCACTCTCTCATCAAGGACTCCATAGCTAGGAATTGCTCCCTGTTCCTATGCTCTGACCATATCCCTGATTTTGGGATAGTCAAACCTGTGACTACAGCTCCTCTTGGTTGATAGTGTCTTTCCCTGCAGGCACTCAGAGCAGGCTGAGCACCTGTTAATGAACCTTTAAACCTTTTAAGCCATGTGAGTTTGTAGAGAGCTCTTAAGCAGGCCTGGAAATCTCACTGGTCTTATATAAGTGCTTTTTTGTTGCAGCTCAGAAAGGCCCCTGCTCCTCAGGACAGATGATATAGCACAGAATATCAGTTAAGGGTCAGTATAAACCAGTGATGGTAAACGTATGGCACACCTGCCACAGCTGGCTGTTTGTTATCAATGAAAGCTCTAAAAGGTTTGCCATCACAGGTATAAATGGTTGATGCAGGTACATGATTTGGAGGTTTCTTAGAAGAGGGAGAGATGAGCTGGCTCTCAGAGACTTGGAGGGCAGAGCTCCCAGGCAGCAGAGAAAGTAACCTGGTGCCAGGTATGTGAGGAGCCTAACCCGCGAGGTCTTAGTCCATGACTGAAAAGAAGAACAGGCAGACTGCAGTGTTCCAGCACGGTAACTGCACTCCATGTGGTTGGTACTTCCTTGGGGAAGTCAGACCAGCCAGGCTCTGACAGCACTCTCCCTTCTGTCTCTGTCCCCCAGGAGATCGATGGCAAGGCCCTGCTTCTGCTGCGCAGTGACATGATGATGAAGTACATGGGGCTGAAGCTGGGGCCAGCACTCAAACTCTGCTTCCACATTGACCGACTGAAACAGGGCAAATTCTAAATGGAATGCAGTCTAGACAACCCAGTGGTCATGCAGATTGGGTGTTCTTCTCCCAGAAAGGAGAGCCACCAGCCTATTCCCAGGTGCCTCAGTGGGGCTCCGGGCCACCTCAGGGCTCCAAGAGGTTGTGTAGGGCCACCACTGCTGCCCCTCCTATCATGGTATCTCCTTCCATGAAGGACCAAGGAGAGGAGAATGTAGGCCTACGGCTGGCGCTGCTCTTTCCCTCAACTCTGAGCGGCTGAAGCCTCCTCTATTTATTTCTCAGGCCTGGCTGTCCTCTCACCAGGAGTTTAGACTGAGAACCTTCTAAGTTAGGGAAGAAGAGGCCAGCCATGGGGCTTCATAAGACCCTCATATGCAGGCCCCTCTCCACTTCCTGGGATTGGTGTGAAGTCCCAGCGCCTCCCAGCTCTTGCCTTCTCACTAGATCCCAAGACTCCAAACTCATGGTGCCAACCCCTACCTTTAAAAAGACAAATTATAGCTTTTCTTACTGCTAATTTATTGTTTCTGGCACCTGGCCAAAACCCTCTAGTTACTGCTTCTCTTCACCAGACACTTGAGTTTGGGGAGGAGGGAAACCACACTGCCCTGGTCCCAAAGAAGCTCTCTAGAGGATGTGGCCTCTCTTCAGTGGATACTGCCCTAGGGCATCTTCTTTTTGGAATGTACAGAACTACATGCTCTACATGGATAAGAAAGGGTCTTGTCATCTTCCCTCTTTCCCCACTGGGCTCTTTGCAGCCAAAGGCCCACTTGTGGGATGGTGGCAGTTCTTCACTGTCCCCACTTCTGCTTCTTGCTCTGGTCAGAGGTGCTGCAGACAATTGAGCCTAAGGATTTTAGGCTAAGCAGACTCGAAGGTTGGGGAGGGAATGGTCTCCAGCTGGAGTGGTTTAGTTCTTCCCCTGGCCATGTGCTTTCTTGCAAACAAGTCAGCAACACAGCTGCTCCTGTTGCCATCTGGACTTATTTTATGTCAATTTGTTTATAAATAAAGCAATGCAGATGCCAATGTCTTTTTAATCAGTTGACAACTAAATTGCTGTGCTTTCAGTAAGCAAGTCACTGCCTTCTTCTAGGTCTTGGTGTTCTCATACCTAAAATGAGGAGCTTGGACCACATGACGCTTCAGAGCTCTTCTAATTCCAGCAATCATAAAGAACTGGCTGTCTTCCAAATGCCCTCCAGCCCCAGAGCCACACAGGACCCCTGAAAGATCGGGTATGACTCCAGTCTGTGCCCTCAAAGGCCCCACTGTCATGTGCTAGTGGGCCCCCGAGGCCAGGGTCAGTCCTTGTGAAGGCCACAGTCCTCAGGAGCTATTCTCATGGCTGCCCAGGTAACAAGGGTACAAGCCATCAGCTTAAGGCAAGTGAGGAACTTGCCTTCTAAATCAGAAGAAAACCATGTGTCCCTAGGACTCCAAATGTATGAATAATTGAATGAATAATTTACAACCAGGAGTCCTTTGAAGCAATTGTTTCCTAGGGGATAAAAGTAAAAAGGTAACCAAAGGTTAAGTATATAGGGAGAAAAGGACTTGTTAACCTCTGACCTCTGAAATCAGAATTGAACACTAAGAAAAATAAAACCAAAAACCTCCAATAATGAAATTGTTTCACAAAGCAAGGCCTTCCAGTGATAACCAGAAGTCTGTAAGGCAGAGAGGCTTGCCATAGGCAGACCCTGTACACAGTCACTTCAGCGCAGAAGAGGCCATTCTTTGTACCCTGTAACTCCAGCAGCAGCCTCAGAGGCAGAGAAAACGTGAGAAAGTGCAAGTCAGACAGACAGGGGTCCCTCGTGACCTCAGTGTCATGCATACACACACACAGCAACACTGTGATTGTTCTGAGCAATCAGGAGGGAAACACCAACTACTTAAGAAATAGCAGAAGTGTCAAGTCTGGGAATGTACCTCAGGAGTGCAGCACTTACCTAGTATGTGCTAGGTCCTAGGTTCCATCCCTAGCGCTACCAAATAAAGTAACAGAAGATTACACTAGAATCCACTTAAGACTTGTCAAGGAAGGACTTCCCAGAGCCGTTTCTGGAACCTTCTGTCCCCTCATCTTTGGTACCTCCTTCCCTCTAGCCAGATGACACATGTCCTCTCCACTGTTCCATTGTCAGATTGTTAGTCCTAAGGAGGAATGTCCATAGCAGCTCACACGGGTCTTTGTGGAACTTCAAGATCTTCCTCTGGAACAGGCACTGGTGGAACAAGAGGACACACTGTCCCTGCTGGATGCCCCAAACCCTCTTTGGGAAGAGCCTAAAAATGACTTGCTATTACTTTTAATCACAGCTGAAAGTGTGAAACTGGAGACAGTCACAGTCATGTACCAGGTCTTTGTACCTGAATCCTTAATATCAAAACCATTACAGATACTCCTGGAAGCCAGCAGTCAACTTCAAGTAGTTCACAGTGGGCTGGAGCCCTTCAAATCTCACAGATAGCCTGTGAATGGGTAGATTTGGCCTCTCTCTACAGGAATGTGGTGTTAAACATTAGGGACACTCCAAACTAAGACTGAAATGACATGGGCCTCAGGATCCCAAAGACTGCATCAATAGTACTCTACCCCAGAGTCCGCTCTTTAACATCCTGTCCTCTCACAAGTGACTGAAGTCATTTCCCTCCCCTGTCCTCTGCCTCTTCACTGGCTTCCCTGGGAAATTAGTGTGGACTCTGATTTGGGAGCTAGAAGGCAGAAGGAAAGCAGACAACCTTGATGTCTGTCCATAGTGGCCATATGGACCCCAGAGGACACTCCAGGTAATATGAGGAGGCATTATACCACGTATCTGTGTCCTCCACCTTTGACCCCCAACTCACATTCCTACATAGCCTTAAATTCTGGGTTTGTTTTGTTTTGGCTTGGTTTTCTCCAGTGCCGAGGTGGCTTTGTCAGATCGCAGACATCAAGTGAGAGGATGAGAAGGGGCTGCATGTCCCACGTTCTGCACCACAATGGGCTGCCCGCAAAGTGCCATACAACGTCTAGGATGCTGTGAATAGCCCAGTTCTCATGAAGTGCATTTCTGTATTTAAAGTTTTTTTGTTTTTTTTTTAATCGGTACCGGGGATCGAACTCACACCTGCCTGCTTGCAAGGCAGGTGCTTATGCCACTGAGCTAAATCCTGAGCCTCTTAAAGTTTTTTTTAATGTACTTAGTGCTCTCAGTAAAAGGCAACTTTTACCCCAATTTCCCAAAAGAAGAGAACTGATAAGTTCTCACCATAAGGCTGTTAGAGGCTTTGAGAAACAGACGAGTGTGGCTTGAAAGAAATCTGCCAGAAAGAACAGAAAACAGTGACCTTGCGGTGAGTGAGGGGTGTCTCACACAGGACAGCCACCGCTGGCCATGCTGTGACATAAAGAGAATGGCTCTGATTGTGTTCTTGTGTCATCCACCAGCTTGCTTCCCGTGGTCAGCCATCTCTTTCTGCACTACCCGATACATTTCTAAACAGTTCGGTGGCTGGTTGTTTTGAGAGCAACTCATGGATAGCAGAGTCAAGGGAGACCTGAAGGAGGGCAGAGACGCATGGAGAGCTTTAGGCTCTCCTCCGTGAATCAGGCAGCTGTGGAGAGCGGCTGCAGGCCTAGGCAAGCAGAGGGTACTTGGCTGCTCTCCCTAGATCCTCACAGTGCCACCACAGCGGGCAGAGCTCCTCCTTGCTCCCATAGTCTCTTCTCTCAAGTTCCCCACACCCAAGCTTCTACCTTCATACCTGAGATACAAACTCCAGGAACATCTTCAGCACAGCAGCCTTTGAGGAAAGCGGCCATCACTAGTCTTCTTCAGCTGAAATATCGCCAGTGGCCTCCCCGCTCAATCCCCATAGTCAGGGCTTCCAGAAGCAGTGTGGGAGAGTGTGTGAACTGCATTTACCAAAGTCCCCACCCCCGTGGTACAGGTACAGCACCAAGTCCTGTTCTAGGTCAAAGAACAAGGATGGCTTTAACCTACAAAGGAGATGGCAGTGCTTAACCAACTTTCCAGGACTCTTATAGACCTCAGCCACCATCTGGAGCAAAAAAGAGCCTAGTGTTGGGGAGCCCTGGACCCCAGTCTGTGCATTTCAGTCTATTTTGGGAGAAACTAGACCTAGTCAGTGCTCAGTGCTCAGTGAAACCTGGGATTGGTGACCAAAGCGGGAGGTGAAGGCTTTAGGCAACAAAGCCAAAAGTAGTGGCACCACTAGCCTGGCACCACTGGGACCTAAAGAGGGACAGTATAATAGATTCTGGAAGCTGCCTAGAGGGGACCCATGGTCGCACTGTGGGGCAGGGTCTGTGTACAGTGTGTAGCTAAGCCATTGTGGGGGAGGGAAGAGGATCGCCGATTGACTTTTCTGACTCTACCCTGCTTGTGGCAGGCCATGAAGGGAAAGCATTATTGACCCTCATGAGATAGCTGTGCTGGCCTAGGACACTTCCTAGGACCCTGGTTCGTGCTGCCTCCAGGCCAAGCTCAAACAACTTTGAGAGCAGCTGGCTCGGGGCAGGGAGTTCTGACCGCTCAGGGTTACCATCTCCTGTCCTCCCCAGAAGCCAACAGGACATGAAGGTCTTAGGCTTCCTCTTGTCTGCCATTACTGTTTGCCCTGAATGCCCCCTCCCCAACCATGATGGCTCCCAGGCCCTCTAGGATCCCATCTGAAAAGATGCAGGCCTACACAAGCTGGAGGCTGGGGGTGTGGGGTGAGTGGATGGCTGATGTGTACGCCTGTAGGCACTGCTCAGAAGCAAGGTTCATGGGCCTGGGGCAGGCAGCAGTGGCCCAGCTCTAACCGAGTTTTGAGCCTTCTCCAATTATATGTAAGTATGGAAAAGCTATCTTTCCAGAGAGGGGACATAGCTTTTGTCAGTGTGCCAAAAAGCATAACCCTCAGACATAGCCCTGGCCAAGTACAGAGCCCTTCCCATCCCACAGCTGGTTTTAGACTAGGTGGAACAGTAGGGGCTGCTGGCCAGCCCTCAGAGTCCTGGAATAAGGCCTCTTTTCCAAAAGCCCCTCTTGAAAGATTTCTCTGGTGCTGGTGCCTGGGGGCAGCAAAAATCTGCCAGCTTGCAGGAAATCTCAAGGCTACCTAGGAGGCCCCTTTTCTGTGGACTGGAGAGGGAAGACAGGACCGCTGGAGGACTGAGAGGATGTGGGAAGTGGGCCCTCAGAGGCTGACTTTTGGTCCTTCCTGCTCCTTTGGGCAAATCCTTTTGGTTTGCATATAGGCTCAGTGGTCTGGTTCAGTTCTGTCCAACTCTTTCTTGCCCTAGGCCCCAGGTGGGTGGAGGCCCCTTCCTGCTGGCCCTCTCCCATCCTTTTCTCAAGACCTGCGCAAGCTCTGCCAGTCTGTGAGCCTTTCAGGAGCCTCAGCACCACTGGAAGACCCTAGGCTCTGAGAGGAGCCGCTAGCAGTGAGGAATCTCAGGATCCTTTCTGAGGAAGACCCCCATAGCCACCAGGAAGGGATGAGCACAAGCACAATTTTGGGAGCTGGCTATGGGATCACAGGACAATCAGCCCCCGCCAGAGCTGCCCCCAGGAGAGTCCCCACTTGAGGACTTGGATCTCAAGGTGGTCCCTGGCACACACACTCTGTATGTGGGCCACCTGAATCCCCAGTTCTCAGTGCCTGTGCTTGCCTGCCTGCTGCAAGACACTTTGGAGCGGCTGGAGCTGCCTGTAAAACGGGAGCATATCCAGGTGGTAAAGCAACCGCGGAACACCTATGCACTGGTACAGGTGGCCGCCCACAAGGCCACCCTGGCCTCCCTCCACTGGCGCCTGCAGATGGCCTTGGAGGAACAGCTGATCCTCAAGGAGCTGACAGCTCGCGGGAAGGAGCTGGTGTTGAGTGAGGGGTGGGGGCCCCTAAACCTCGGAGAGGTAAGTGAGCCTCTCCTAGGTGAGCTCCAAAGGTGCCCTGGGGAAGAGCCTGAGGGCCTGGGAACAAATCTGCAGACTCGGGCCGGACTGCTGCTTCACTGACCTGAAGCTGACACTGCAGCTTTCCCCAGAGGCACTCTGGCCGTGAGGGCTACCTCCAGCAGAGCCTCGTGAAGAAAGGCCAAGCATGGGCTCCTCCTCGGCTCTTCTGCATCCCACTCCAGGGCAGGGCAGCCCAGGCACACAGAGTGTTCTCCTCAACCCACTTCATTTGTTTGCTGGACAAACGCCAACACCCACTCTGTGCTGGGAAGGGTAAGGCAGGAACTAGAGGCCTGCGCCCTGCCCTCCACCCCTGTGCAAAGCCACATAGCATCAGTCATAAAGCTGAGGTGGCTCTGGAGGACACAGGTCAATTTTTACTACTTGCTGGGGACAAATTCACAGGGAATATGAAATCCAGACTGGGACTTAGGAACATGAATAGGCACTCGGGGGAGGAGGGACTGCAGGCGGAGGGACTAGTGCATACAAAGCGATAGAAGCGGACGTCATAGTTCGGGCAGGCTGCTTGCTGTCCCTAGAGCCGAGCTGGAGGCTGCAGGGATGCTGAGGAAGGAAGCGGGGCTGGTGTACAGGGCCCACAGCTTTGGTCATGGGAAGGTAGGGCTGGTTTCCTAGGGGCTGGAAGTCACCACACAGATGATCTCATTCTTCCTTCTCCTTGAGCTGCAAACAGTTGCAAAGCTAAACAGATCTGTGGCGCTTTTCAACATAGGTTAACTGCTTTCCTGTCTGCTTGACTGATCCTATTTCTGAAATGGGAGTTTTGTCTTCCCTGGTGAGCTACAGGGCTAGCAGCACAGTGCCCCTCATCTCCATGCATCAGACCACATTGAGCTCGTAGCCCAGGGAGCCAGTCAAAGCCAGGGACCAGGGAAAGGCTTTTCGAGGGGAATGACTATTTCCCTTACATTAGAGTGAGCAAGGAGGATGGATGGGGAGAGGAGTCTGGTGAGACACAGACTGATGAGGCCCAAGCTAGTGGTCTTGAGGACTTGTAGTGTCCAGTGCCCTGGAGCACAGCAGAAGCAAAAGAAGGGGAGAGAAAAGCTGAGTGACATTCAGGAGGATGTGCCAGCATCCCCAGAGGTGGCAGGCAGAGTTCCAGGGAGACCAAGAAAGGGGCGAATCCCAGCTTAGGGACTTGCAACTCTGTATAGGCAACCTTAAGGAGCCGAGGTAACTTTTGAAATCATCTGGGCTTTGGCCTCAGGCCTATCTGCAATCCAAGTGGGGAAAAACTTGCTCACAGACGTGCCAGCTCCCAGCCCAGAGAAAAAACCATCTCTTCAAACACACACGGGCATGTCACAGCCTGAGGATCCAGGAGAGCCTGCTCAGAAGCTGTTTTAGACCCTTGACCCACCAGGGGGTCCCACATTGGCCACAGAAGGGTGGGCAGAATAGGGTCTCTCGGCCTGGAAGATCAGATGCCCGTGGATCTAAACCTTAGGCAGGAGTGCAGTGGAGGTGTGGCAGTCTGTCTCAAGGCAGGAACTCCTGACTTCTTCCTGGACACAAAAACCCTGCTTTTGATCCCTATCCCAGCAGGAGGACAGTGGCCCAAGCCCAGGCCCCAGCCCTAGTCCCTCCCATTCCAGGCTCCGGTGTCCCACTGCCAGCTTGGCGTGCAAATTCTTCACCTAATAGGCTGTGGGCCTGGCAGCGGCAGATTTCCCAAAGCCGGCCTAAGGGTGTGTGCTCAGACAGCGCCATCGTACACCAGGAGATACTGGGCCAGGAGCAGCTCTTCCAGGGAGCCTTCCTGGGCAGCGAGACAAGGAACATGGAATTCAAGCGGGGAAGCGGGGAGTACTTGAACCTGGCTTTCAAACACCATGTACAGCGCTATGTGTGTGCCTTCCTCAACAGTGAGGGTGGCAGCCTGCTTGTGGGTGTTGAGAACAATGGCCTGGTACAGGGCATCCGCTGCAGCTACCGTGAGGAGGACCGTGCCCGTCTTACTAGTGGATTCTGTCCTGCAGGGCTTCAACAGGTCCAGGGCTGCCACTGACAGGTATAGCCCCTTCCAGAGCTGCCATTGCTCTTGCCAAGGTCCTCCGCCTGACCGTGCACACCCCAAAGACCCAGAGTGAGCCACAGCTGTATGAGACTGACCAGGGAGAGGTGTTCCTGTGGCGTGAGGGGAGCATCCAGGGCCCACTGTCCATCAGTGCCATCCAGGAGTGGTACAGACAGGTGAGGGGGCTTCGGCCAGGGTAGGCTGGGCCCAGGCCCTCCAGACATTCTGTGAGCAGTCTGGATCCTGAATCAACCCAGGAGCAGACTCAAGGGCTTGGATTAAAGCCCATCTTCACTGTCTCTGGTACTGATGTTTGAACCCAGTGCCTTTGCACTGACCTGTTTCACCATTAATTTTTTTAACCAAGTTGCCAGGTTGGAATAGAATGTGATCCTACATTCTACACTCCTTCAGTTTCCCAGAATGCTGGAACCAAACAGTCTCTAAAAGTCTGTGTTCTAGTTCCCATGGTATCCACCATACCAGAGTGGTCAGTTAAGAATCCATTGTTGAGTGGCCAGGGAAGAGGAGGGAGTTTTAAATTACAAGGAAACTCCAAGGACTCTGCATCGCATCTGGGGGATCCCTGAAGAGAGGGGATAAGAGTGCTGGACACATTCCAAGGAGGCACCTTTGCAAAAGATCAGGTGGCAGGGAGCTGACAGAGCGAGGGAAGGATGTGGCTAGGGGCCAGCCTGCACCTGCCCCAGCCCTGGGGAAGCTACAGAGCAGTGCTCCAGCCCAGCATCCAGCATGCTGGTAGCTCGTCAAGGCCCAAGGCAGCATGGCCACGGTTATCTGGGTTCTCACCTACTTGAGAAGGTCTCCCAGGCTCTGGTTCACCCCGAGGGCTGGGAGGGTGGCCATTCTGGGACAAAGCCTAGCCATCTGTTGCCACATTGTCCCCTCAGAAGTGGACAGCAGAGCTGGCCAAGCTGGAGGTGAAGGTGAAGATGCTGACAGAGGAGAAGGAGCAGCTTCAGCAGCAGCGACAGCAGCACCGGCCTGTGTCTGCACCTGCTGCATCCTGTGAGACCCCGCAGCAGGTGGCAGGCAGCACAGTGCTGCTCCGCTTGGCAAGGTGGGGACTCCCAGTGGACTAAGCCTAAGCAATAAAACACACCTGGACCTCACAGAGACAAGCAGGAGCTCCAACCTTCTCCTCTCCTTTACTGTACACACAGCTGCCATGTATGTGGCTTCACCCTGAGCAGCCCAGTCTGCAGAGCTGAGAACCACGCTGGGCACATCCCCAATGCACCTCACTTTCAGAACGAACTTGCCAGTTACCCTACAGTGGAACGACCATCCCCACTCAATGCTTCTTTTGCCCAAGCTCGAGTCTCTGGCTCCCATCTGCTAGATGGTCAGAAAGAAGTCTGTCATATTGAGAAGACCCCTCACAGTCAGCAAAGCATATTTGATAGTTGTGGTTATGGGGTAAACGGGACACATGGAGGCCCCACCCTGACTTGCTAGAACTTGTAATTGTCAAAGCTTCCTAATCAACTACATGCTTCTGAAATGCAAATGGTTATGCCTAGGATACCTGGTCAGCCAGCCAGATCCTCTGGGTGATGACCCCTTGCTTGGGTCATCTCTGCCTAGGAGGGAGAGCCTAACTGGGGCTCCTGCCACAGAGGAATGGAAGACAGAAGCAGTCAGTCTCTGGCTCAGCTGTCTTAAAAGACAAAGTGCCCAGGACAGTCCAGCTGCCTCTTTACTGTGCTCTATGTGGTGGTGGGCAGGGGCATTTCATCCATCTTCATCAGGCAGTGCCCTGCATCTATGTTGGCTGTGGCACAGAGTATCACTCCCATTCTCAGGTACTTTGTGGCCCATTGCAAGGATTTCCGCTCTAGCCATTCCCATTAAATCTAAAACCAGAGGCCCACTCTGTCATGCCCACTTCACCTGGAGCAAAGGTCCCTGTGACCTCAGCTTCTCCCACTGTCCTTGTACCAGCCACACCAACTGGAGATTTTGCACTAGCTGCTCTTGACTGGAATCCTCTTCCCCAGTAGGTGCACGACTCCCACTCCTTCTCTACAAGTCTGTGCTCAACCTTCCCATTCACCCTTTTTAAATCATCCCCCCTCCTGGCTTCCTTTATCTTCTTCTGCTTCCATTCTTTCTCTATAGTGCTATCATCTTGGTTTTTCCTCCACTAAAATGTACATTTCAGGGGACAGAGACCTTAGTCTATGTTTGGAACCTACATAGAGTTGGTATGTGGTAGATAACTAGTATTTGCTGGTGAACAATCAGGATACTCCTAAATTTAGGGTCTGAACTATCAGAAAATTATGGACCTTGTCAAACAGCATTTCACACAGCTGGAGCTGATCACCACACTTCCTTGGTCTGGAGGTCCTTGGCTACATCCTACAGAGTAGACACAAGAGAAAGCTCTGAAGCCAAGCCTTTACCCCATTTGTCAGGCAGGGGGCATCTGAAGCAACCACTACTGCTCCGAGACCTGGTTTTCCCATTATCAGACAGGATTCAGCTTCAGCCTTGACCATTCACACTGGTTACAGGGGCCAAATGTGATCATAGATGCATGTACATTACTAAAATTCTGCTGCAGGGTAACCAAGCTGCTTGAAAGCTACATGAATAAAGAATGCATTATTCTAGCTGAGCAGTGGTGCACACAAATAATCCATGCACTCTGGGGAGGCCAATTTGCAAATTTGAGCCATTTAGTGAGGGCTTGTCTCAAAGTAAAATATTTTAAAAGGGTTGCAGATGTAGCTCAGTGCAAAGGCCCTGGGTCCAACCCCCCCAAAACAAAAATAACTTGGGCTGAGGGTGTAGTTTAGTGATAAGAACATTTGTGTTGCATTCACAAAGCCCTTAGTTCATTGTCAGCATCACAAAAAACACTTGAAAAACCATTACTTGCTGAGCGTAGTGGCGCATGCCTGGTAATCCGAGCATCTGTGAGGCAGAAGCAACCACTACTGGTCCGAAGCAGGATAGCCATGAATGCAAGGCCAGCCTGGGTTACATGGTACGTTCATGGCCAGTCTAAACTGCACAGTGAGACCCTCTCTCAAAGAACAAAAATAAAGAACAGCAGTCAGTTTCTGGACACTTCCCACAGGCACTATGCTAGATGTTCTCAATCCTCAGAAATATTCTTCTCTGGGTCTGAGGTACAAGCTGGGTCAACTGGGGGGAAAGAAACACCTTCCTCTCCCACCTTATATCTCAAATTTCAGCAGGTGAAGGCTTTACCACTGGTAAGCAGCTGGGCCTGAGGCCTGAGCCTCAACAGAATGCAGATGTGACCAGAGGGTGGCTGGGTGCTACTGCCACCACCTTAACTTTGACATGGAGACCTTGAGCTGTTGGGCCTGTGCTCTGGAGGTTAAGTGGAGAGAAAGCAGTTCTGCTGGCTGAGACAGTCCACGGTCAGCCACTCCCAGCTGTCTGTGAGGTGCCCACGTCCAGTGGCCAGTACATGCAGGGCACGGCACTTCCTCCCTCCCCTGCTCCTGGTCACACAGCTCTGTGTCCACCCTGCTTTTCATCTTCCTCAACACCTCAAGCCAAGACGGAGAGCCCTGTTGGAGAATTCCAGCTCCTATTAAGGAGAAAGGTACCTCTTTTAGTTCCAAACACTCAACTCAGCTACCTGGAAGCGCTGCCCTAGAGGAATGCCTGGTGTCCCTGGCATTGTGCTCCCACTTTCCCACCTGGCCAGTGACAACAAGAATGAAAAACGAAGCACGTCTCATGTTCTGCACTGTTTATTTCTTAAGTTAAGAGAGTACATCGAGCTCAGCCAGAATAAAGTGAGCACACGGCTGTGCCATTTATTTCATCACAGTAAGAAAATAGCTCTTCGTATTGCATCTCACCTATAGTAACACCATTCTGGAAGAAGAAGTACCCTCAAGTCAAAGCTGTCTGTAGATGAGAGGGTTTTAGGGACAGTTTCCCCAAAGGTGTTTAAGTGACCCCTTGATGCAAGGAGTGTCCCCAGCCCCAGAAACAGGAAGCAGCACAGGGTTTTAAAACCGCACTTCAGAGACACAGGCTTCTCATGGCTATGTATGAAATTAAACTGTCCCCTTGGATGATGACCAGCCATCGTTGGCACCAAGAGTCCTCGTCAACCTGGAGCAGCACTAAGGTTTCAGCTCTGGTTTCACAACTCTTAGAGGCAAGCTACACACACAGGTTACCAGCACCAGACGTCAGAGGTGCGAGCTGCAAGGACCTTCTGGCTTTGGAGAGTCCACGCGGCACACTGTGACGGCCCAGGCACCCACAGGAACGCAACGGGCAAAATACACTCGAATCCATGATGATGCGAGGTAGTTGGAAAAGCAAGGTTGATGGGCCTTCCACCAGCCCTGGCCATTAGTTCCTGACCTGATGTCCAGTTTCTCATCTCAGAAACTGATGAACTAGAAAAGAGCCGTACACTCAACAGGCAGTGCGCCCTGTCACAGGAGCCAGTCTACATGATGGGACATGCAAGTTGACAGTTTTCCAAATGCCTTTTCCCCATAATAAAATAATCTTAATAAAAACATAATTTAAAAGCAGTGTCAAGGGAGGGGAGGGAATTGGGGAAAAAAGAATAAAGATATATTCTATATAGGTACAAGTTCCCTAAGATGAATGTGATCATTATGTATGTCTAAAATGTACCAACAAAATAAAAGTGTCAAACGCCAAGTGTAAAGTCATAGCTGTAAACTCCATCAAAGTTTCTCTTGAATCATCCCTGTTTAAAAAATAAGAAAAGAAAGCAATTACATATTGCTTTTATGCCTGTAAAGTAGAAAAGTTAGAATTTTCAAGTCACTTGTCACGGAGAACAATGCCTGTTCCTCAGGAGGTAACAGCCCTAGCAGCCCACAATGAATGACTACAGTTAAAATTGTAACTCCTATAGGACTGCACATTCAAGACCTCACAACCGCCCCTGCCCTGCCCTGCCCTGCCCTGAGACAAGCACCTGATTTCAGCACCAAGCAGGTCAGGGCCTGCAAGCTCAGACCCCCGGTCTCGTTTCAGATGCCAGATTTCTGACTCTTCACCCTCCGATGCTTTCACAGGCACAATCTGTACTTCTGGCTTTTTCTTTTCTTTTTGAAACAGAGTCTCACTATGCAGTTCAGGCTTGCCCTGAACCATAGCAACTCTCCTGCCTCAGCCCCCCAAGTGCTGGGATTACAGGGTGCACTTCTGACATTTACATTTAACAAGTGGCCATAATTACTGCACTTGATACTTATAAACCTTGTCACTACAAACACAAACATTCAAAATCTGTTTAATAAATGCTCAGCTTTTGCAGGGTTTTTCAAATAAACAGCAATCAATACCGCACTATCTGCCAACAGTATCTTTCTAAAGCGCTTCCTGATGAAGATGCGAGGTACTGCGGAATGACCGGACATACTGTCATGCCTGTCTCTCCAAGTTCACAGCTTCATGAAACAGGGCCTCAGCACCCAGCCCACCTAGTCACCAGACTGGTACTGCATGCAGCAAGAGGCCACAAGACACCGCAAAGTGACTGGTGTCCCCCACCACCATCCCACCAAGTGCAACCCGCCCACAACCAATCTCACTACTTCCTTTCTCTGGCAAATAAAACTTTAGCACAAAACTTTTACAATGCTTTTACATGCTTTTAACTCTCATGTATATCACCACCTAAAAAAACTACAAAGCTTAAATCTGTCACTGGGCTGGGGAGGTAGCTCAGAGGTAGCCTGCTTGCCTAGCTTGCATGAGGTCCTAGATTCAATTCCCAGTACGGGGCGGTATGGGTCAATTGACATTACCAGATCAATTGTGATTTACTGATGGAAACTTCAGTTCAGTGATTTCAGAGTCAGGAGAGCTGCTCCCACTTCTGTCACTGTAGGTGTCCCTGTAAAATTCAGAAGGCTGATTCGTCACCTCCCACCACCAAAACCTCACTTCTCAGTTTTTGCAGACACCACTACCACAGTGACGTGTGTCCACACAGCAGAAATTCAACTCTTTACTACATACTGTATT